AAAATAAGTGTTCCGCATTGAGCCATTCCCACTTGATTTTTCTCATCCTACCTTGAAAACCTGAACCTTGAATTCTTGAAGACTAGAACCATTGATCATTATCGAGAGTTTTCTCAAGTGACTCCCGTCATTTGGGATGTAATTAACTATAGGGGCTTGCCTCTATAGGGAACTTGGAACCCAGGTAAAATAAACCCTATTTAATCTTTGTATTAAATAGGGGAATTTGTCGGTCATTTATTAAAGGTTCGCAGACCAAACGGATGTCACAAATCTCTTAGTTTGCAGGATTGGGTCTATCGCTGAGGTCTACACTTATCTCTCGGGAAGGTGTAGTATTCGCGGTATCAGGCACGATTATGCAAACTATCAGACTAATGAGATCCATTTGGTCTCATTTTTCAAAAATTAAAACATACTACTTTTAAAACTCAAACTATATATCTTTTATACTTAAATTAAATCTCAAAAATTATTTTCATATACCATATTTTCTTAATTAATCAATCGAAAAAGTTGACCGACAAACATTAAAAAAAAAAAATGACGCAGAACTTATAAACGTGATAGAAATTAAGTCGAATTAGAACAAAAAAATAAACAGGAAACAACTCAAAGCTCTGCAAGGATTCCCGCAGAAATTGTCAACCAGACGAGAACTGCTCGTTCAGTCTTCCTGTAAGTGCGGGAGCTTCGATTACGTGGTATATCGTGAGATCTCTGATTTTGCAGTATCGCAGAAACATTTGAACGGCATGACATTCCCATCACATAACTTATTACTAAAAGATGCAGCCACAAAAATACGAGAAGAAAATTTTACATAATGGGAAGTGGATTGATCATTGTTAATCGACAACACAAGAAATACAAAGAAACCAGCAGTTAAAACATAAAAATAAAACTGTCTTAGATTCTAAGGTAAATTAGGCTGAAACATGAAAAAAAAAAATTCAAAAACAGATATGTAATTTAATTGGATGGAAGCACCTATGTTCAATCAAAAATAAATGCAAGATTGTTACCAAAGTGAAGATAGTATGGCTCCGACTGCTGAGTAGATTAAAGTTATTTGATCCAACATGCCGGTGCTCTGCAATCACAACAATAAATTAGGAAGAGAGAATGAAACTAGACGTAAATGACTAGAAAGTTATAAAAAATAATCAATAAAACAACCAGATAAGCGTCTTTGATGATCAAAAAATTAGTATATGAAAAAATTCCAACCCTGAATCACAAATACAAACCACCATAATTCAATGTAATTAAAGGTGTAGATATTGCCATTTTCACCATAATCCAGTGTGGATTACCACACATTTTAGTGCCAAAAGTATTGAAGAATTAGAGTGCCTAACTACCAAAAAAAACCAACACCGGGCAGTAGTTACCCTGCTTGTATCTCAAGAAAGAAAACATAATACCGTTTCACACAAACACCTAAACTTTACACTGGTAAGCATTTTAACCAAATTAAAAACATCACCAAATATCCATGTTGGTGGCATTCAGGCAAATCACAGAACACTTAAAGCCATTCGAAAAAAGAGTCAACATAACTAAATTCAAGCATTTCTTTAATGGAAAATCGATGAAGATCCTATTTTTAGAGCTCACCTTCATAAATATGAAAAAATTTAAGAATAAGAAATTGGAACTCACCTTGAGATTTGCTTTACATATGATAATAGTAACATAATATGATGTGTTAATGCGAAATAGTTCGAAATTTTTATTTAAGCTGATCAAAGACTAATGAATTAGGGTAATTAGCTAATGAGTGATTAAACTAATCATTTGCTTGTAACTAAAAATTAATATTCAATGATGAAAATATGTTTAGCTTAAGAGTATCATGTCATCGGGGGAAAGACTAGCAATGATTTGTTTATGATACTTGTACAGGTGGCACAAAAGAGTCCTTAATATAATTCAATAATGATAATGTAAGATTCCACCTAGGCTCTATTGATCTTCATAATATAGCCTTTGAGCTAAAGTTTATACCTTATGCTATGTGTTGTGGGTTTACAACTCACTAACATATGATAGATAATAAACTAATGTAATTATACACACGCATTCAAAAACTAAAGTGAATGACAAATCAATAGATGATGAATAAACAAAAGAAAGGTTTTATGTAATTAAAATTAATGTGTTTGAATCATTTAATGATAATAATATGCTACTTAGGTAATTCAGTTGTTATCTCCTTATATAAGTATTTTAATGTAAATCTCTATGTAATCAAAGTATTATTTTGAATTTTATAAAGTACTAGCTATTTATACTCTTTTTTATGATTACATGATTAATATGTCGTTTGCATCTCTTAAGTATTTATGTATTAATTTTTTTTATCATGTTAGGCCTAGTACCTTACTGAATTATCATAACTGCTTTCTTGAGGAAAGTAAAAGAATAAAATTGAGGCCTAGTAAGAATCAATATTAACTCTGATAATATTTTTTTAAACAGCTATTGAAAGATAGAGCAGTATTACAATATTCTATGAAAAGAAGTTTATGTTTTGTATAAAATTTTAGATGATCTGTAGAAATATAAATCAATAATTTTTATATTGCTTCCACTTAGTTCCATGATTAAATTTTAATAAATGTGTAAATTTAAGCAATATTTTCATGTTGTTTTTGGTGCATTTAGGCGATTAAATTTATTACTCGCTCTACTATGTTAAGTACAATATCATAATGGGAATTGGAGGTATATTAAATGAGTTAAATCACACTCATCTTTGTTAATTCCCGAGTCAATTTAGGTAGGGGGCGTTGTGGGACATGACAGCTTGGACATAAGCCTTTGGGTTGGTTAAATCATATAGAAATCTTAATGTCCATAAATCCCACTAGACTTAAATTTCAATTAACCTATATAGTTCATCCTTGAATTATTATAAACGTGAATGTTATAAGTCATATTGCACAAAGTTTGTTTGAGTAAATTTTTTTTAAATGTAATCATATCATTAATACTCGCTTTTAGCATAGTTTCTTAATTTCAATAATGTTATAAATGTGTTATGATTATTTTGACACTGGTATGATTTTATTATAGTGGATAAATTATAATATAATAATAGATATGTAAACTAATTAATATTGAAACTTAAGCATAGCATTAAACTTGAGTAACACATTATTAATCAGTTTTCTAAGAAAAAATTATACTTGTACGGTCGAATGTGTGGTATTGCATTAAACCGCAATTATATGATTTATATAGTTGAGTGTAATAAATTATATTGTCTAAAATTACTTCTACACTCTTTATTTTGGTTTATATATAAATGTGTATTTATAGATTCTTATGTTTATACAATTAATAGTTAATTGCGAGTATAATTTATATCATTAATCATTGTATTATTTATAGTTTGCACAGAATTCTTCTTCCCAATTTATTAAGCCTCCATAAATATAATTTGTAAATATTGCTAAAAAATTATTTTAAAATAATAAATTCACCCAGTGTTGTTGAGCCATGCGACAATCGGCTAGAACTCCTCTTCTTGAAATCATCATTTTCTCTATGGCATAGCTTATATATCAATTCACTTACGGTTTAAGACATGTTAGTTGAAATTTCTCTCTATATTGTGTCTATCACCATCACATCCTAACATGAATGTGGCTAGCACCACTCTCCTATTCTCTACGCAAATCATGCAATCCAAAATATTTTTTATCTTCAATAATCAATCTTTGGAAGTTGTAAGGTCACTCACAAATTTAAATGCAAGTGGCTTAAACTGAAAGATCTTTAAAAGTCTATGAACTCTTGTATCAACTTTAGATCTGGGCCCTAAATTGGTCTAAAAACTTTCAATAATAGTCATTTTATCAACCACTTGTGATCTAAATTGAACAATCTAATGAAACTCGGTGGCTCTAGCTTCCTCGTTTCTCGTGCTCTGATTATCATTTCTGATTAAGACATTGCAATTGGCTTAGGAGACTGGATTAAGTACTTTTTGCACTTCTTCAGCCAAATTCAACTATATTGGCATAATTCATTATCCGATCTAGTATATCATACAATAATTATGTCATGCATTCAAGATATCTTAAGTCATATGAGATATCAATCATAAATTAATCAACCTATAGCTCTGTATAATTCAAATCATATTTGATCTCATTCTGAATTTATTTAAAATCCAACATGTTTTCATCATTCTTTTCATCCAATAATCATGCTCTCAAACCACTTTCAGTCACACCCCAACGGACTCACTTTTTAGGGTGAATAATGGTGCGACAGAGAAGAAAGACTAAGTCAGACCAAATTCTCATCAGCACATGTTCTGAATTGCAAAATCAAGACCCAGTGGGTAAAATATTAGTTTAAATTATCACAAGCATACATAATTAAGCATGAAAAGTCTTATAAATATAAATATATATATATATAGGTATGTATATAGATATATATGTATGTATATATAAATATATATAAAGAGAGAGAAGGAGCGAGAACTGCTAAATCTAAAAAAATAAAAGTATGTATGCTAAAATTCTGTAAAAACTCCCAATAATGAAAAAACTGTACAAGTCACACCTGACTATACATCCTAGCGCTTCTTACACCTTCCTAAAAATCAACAACGTAGAGTGAGCTACACTAAGCTCACTAAAATAAGCAACGTTAAAGAAGGATTTATAGCTGAAAAATAAGCGTACATGATCATATGTAGCTTAGCTCATATATGTACGTCACATGTATAAAATATGTAAGAAAAGCATCTAATGCAAGGAATCATGACTGCTATATAAAACATTTATTTTATAGGCATATCACAATAATCATAGATATGTCACTTGTACTTGAATAGGTCTCAACTATTTTCATGTCATGTCATGTCATTGGGTCGTCACTAGCACGTAAGTTAAATTATTTATTGATAAAAGTTGCCCCTCCTAACGTAGCATTTATCGATAGCCTCATTGATACAAATGGTTCCCATATTTCTGTCCCAGTTTGATCCTAATGATTCCCGGAATTTCTTCCTCGACTAAATACCAGAAGTAGGGAATCACATCACTATCTATCATCCATACTTGAAATCATTCACGTAATAGTCTACGTATAGCATCACTTGTGCAATCTCTTAAATAAGAATTCTTGTAACAAACATTCATCATGGGCATTTCATATCTAGTATACATGAATCAAAGTAAATGAATACCTACAAACAATAAATTTATAAAAATATTTATCAGATTCATGGCATAGTAAAATTGCAAGTAACGTAAGATAATATTTGAACTCATCCTTTATTACTACAAAAAGAATTTCTTAAAAGAAAAGGAATATGAGATGTTGCAAGGATTGGAGTAAAGATGTGAAGGTTATTTGGTGCAAGAATATTCACTTGAGCTACTTCTAGTTCAGAACTTCGAAAGGGGAGGAAGCTTATAAAATCATTGAACAAATGGAGAACTCCAATTTGTCCATCTCTCCCTATATGTGAAAACATCATAATTTATGCATTTCTTTTTTTTTTTTGTTTTGAGCTCTCGATTCATTCTTGTAATTAAACCTTTATTCCTACCTCATGTTTTCTTCTCTTTTCTTTTTTTTTTTTTCTAGTGATGATAAAACCTAAGGAACCTACAATAATCTTAACTTTTAAACAAATTTGAAGAATTGGCAACCAAACAAGCATAATGGATTACAATTTCGAGCTTACTAAACTAATTTCATCAATGCAAACCCAAGCAACATTGTTTAGGGTTAACCAAGACACAAACAAGATAAACAAAATACAAGTTAAAAAAAAAAAAAACCGTATGCAAATTTACATATTTCAACCAAAACTTCTTCAAAAAAGTCAGAATATGCACGTGAAGCTTTTTAAGATTAAGAAGATACATTGCTGTTGAGGATACAGTGGCAGAAATTTGGGCATATCATTTGAATTCAGTGCTCTTGATATGTCGTACCTTCGCCAGAGGCTATCAATGAGAGAGCATGAGCGGGAGACAAAACAACTTCTTCTTTTATTCCTTCCACATACGTTCCCTACAAAGCATATTCCCTTGTACTAAATAAACGTTAAATAAAAATAAAAAAAAAATATTAAAAAACAAAAAGAAAACTTATAACTCTGGTGATGAAGTCAATGAGCCTAACATAAAAGTAGCATAGACACCATAGCAAGTATGGGACTCTTAGATCTAGAGTTTTTAAAGCCTACTTTGCAAACAATTCATTTATTGCGAACAAACAATGCAAAAAATAGGAGGTCAAAATAGTAACCATTTGTACTCCGCCATTTTAATCATGGCTATCTAGCTTATTCAACTTAGCCTGTTGACCCCTCAAATATGATCTAAAATATTCCCAATATTAAATCATAATTGAGTAGTCAATAAACTATTTTGAATCAAATTTAGCAATTCAATAGACAAAATTGGACACATTAAAAATTCAAAACTAAAACACTGAGTGTACACAAAAGAAATAGAACTGATATGTTACTAGAAACTAACCAAATTCCCTACAAAAATGTGAACTCAAAGAATTGGGAACCTGAAATACTTTGTTGGCATAGAAGTAACTCGTCAAGCCATGGTACATTAATTTCCCAACACAAACATATCATAGATTTGTTAAAGGAGATAGATATGATTGGATGTAAATAAACAGAAACGCCCATGGATTGAAACAAAGAAAAAGCAGAATCACCATAAACCCGTTGAAATAGAAAGATATTAAAGACTAATGAAAAACTTATTAATCTCTCACGCACCATACTAGATATTGAATTTCCTGGATAGCGAACCATACTTAACACAAGAAAAAAGTCAACTACAAGAAGTCTCCTAATAAGAGTTCAAATTTTGTTAGATGTTATTTGGATTGGAGATGTGATTTAGAGCAAACATGCATATTTGGAAATTGTAAATATCTGGAGGAAAATCATGTCATATGGAAAAGTAAGAAACAATTTGAAGTTGAACAAAATCAAAAAAGATATTTACCTTGCATGAAGAATCATTAGCCTTTCTATTCATATAATTTAGCCTCAAGTGTAGAATATCTAAATATGCCTCTGCATGTGTGTCTAAATCCATTTTCCTGTGTTGGTTCTAGGGTATTAATCTTGTTGCCTCAACCACCACAAAGCGTTGAAAGTGGGAAGGTAACCTATTACAGTTAATTATCTAATGGAAATCAAGTTTTTACTCAAGCCAAGAATATGCATGATTTCTTCAGCTTCTAAGTATTCCAATAGGTTGTTTTAATTAGCACAAATTAAACGTCACCACCAAGTAACATTTTGTCAAAATTATCTGTGAAAAATTTACCGATAAATCTTTGCTTGAAGAACAAAGGCGCAAATGAGTCCAATATCCACATCTCCATTAGACAGTGTGCATTGAATATCCATATCATCATTGAACTGTGAGCATAGAATATCAATGCATGCTAAATGTTTTCTATGGTGGCATTCCTGTATCTCTTTCATTGAATTTCAGACTACATAACAAATCTTTTTCCAACATTATTCCATAATATGGCAAGACTTGTCATATTATTAGCATCCTACTGGACAATTTAGAGACATAAGAGTATTAAGATATAATTATTAGTTTGTAATACGAGATTTTGATCTATCCAACCCATTGTTATTTCATTAATTTTGAGACAAACTCATTCTATCAATATTGAAAATATAGAATGATATATCAGCACCTCTTTGATAATGGTTAATATTATAGCAAAGGATAACTAATATCTCTAGTGTTGTTAAACTTTATGGTGGACAGTCCATAAGAGGAACTTCGATGGTGGCCACAGCATTATCCCAACTTTCGGAGAACAAGGGAAGTAAACTTAAAGGCATGGATCCCGTCATCAAAATTGATGTTCATGGAGCTCAATTTGCCTGAGATTGAGTTGCTCTCCTTTTAATAACCTAAAATTTAAAAAAATTCTCATTAAATATACCTTGTTGACTGTGAAGGCATTCATACATGTTGGAGTGCGCCCTCATAAATGTATCCTAAATTAATATTATTAAAAATCTTAAAAGAAACATTCAAGACGAGGGATAGGCAAAAAAATCCCGTAGTATATACTTCCATCAATGTACTTGCGAGGCTTTGGATGTAAGTGGATTTCATGAAGTCATAGAACCTTGTGAATTGTGTTTATTCTCGTCTTCATCATATTTAGTGTTGACAACTAGCATCAAGATTTATCAACAAAACTTTCTTTGTTTAGCATGTACGATGAAGGATCAACGTAGGTAAGTTTGATGGTTGAAATTTTGGGTTTAGGAAGATGCGGATGGAGTGTTTGCACAAGAATGTTCAATCAATCTCCAAAAGTAGTAATACTAACATATATTAAGAAGATTCCATTGAGCTCCAAAATCAGATAGGCCAAGGATTTCACTCAAATATAAAGACAGTTTCGAGGTAAACTTTTGCAGAAATGCCTCAACATGCCATATTTGATGATGATGAAATCATACGCTTGTTGTACTTGATGCTAAAAAATAAGAAAATACTACCTCCCATTGTAGGAGTGAAAGATTAGAGTAAAGTGGAAACTAACAACTAAGACTACTGCCAACTGCAAAAAACCTCAATACCCCACCTCTTTCTTCCCATATTTCAATTTTATTGATATGCTAAACCCATCTTCCAACGATCCACTTAAAGTACTGACAATGCATGCATTTGAAAACATATAATAAATCACATACAAGAAGATTCTAAAATAAAAAAAGATCTCATAATCCACAAAAAAGATTTAATTATCTATTTGCATATACATAAATTCTAAATTATATCTTAAATAAATTTGTTGGAAAAAATTACGATTTCATAATTTTAACAAAGACAGTTAAGAAAATATAAACAAAAGTTAAGCATGAATTCAAGAGGCATCACAAAAACAAAAAAAAATAAAATGTTACAATAGTATCCTAAGAAATAAATAAAATTGAAAAATGAAAATTAGCTAAAAAAATAATGGTGGATTAGTAGCTGAATAAACACCTTTGCACACAATGACAATTTTGAGCATCCACATCGAATTAATGTTTTAAACAACTTTACACATATGAAACATATTTCTAATCCAAAAAAGAAAAATCATACAAAAATTCTTTAGTTGAATTAGCCTACCACTCTTTCAAATGAGTAATGATGTCCCATCCTGATAGTCCTTTTTAAAAAGAAAAAAAAAATCTAGGATCAAAAGCAAAAAAGATTTGAACTACACATTCAACGCCTAAACCTTATTCAAACTAATTTGAACATATATTTCAAACCTAAAAGTACAATCATTAGAACCGAGACTACGTTCAAAAGACACTTGAAAAAAAGTTCAAACTTGTACCATGTGGTTAGAACCTTTTGGGATCTTTTATCATACTCTATTTGAGTTTCATTTGAACAATGTTTAAATCTAGTGTTCAACTAATACTCAAATAAAGCTTGAACAAGATTCAAACAAGGCTCTTATTCGAACCTTGTATGAACTTATGTCGTATAATGTTCAAGCATTTTTTGAACAGATCAGATACTTATAAATGTTTGGACATTTGCTTTAAGAGCAAATGTTTAAAATAAGATTCAAATGAGATTTCAACCTTGTTTTTCCTCATTATATTGAACCTTTTCCTTGCTTCCAACCTGCAGTTCTCTAGGGCCCTAACTCATCAACTTCACACTAATGTATACATATTTGCTCTTTTTGATAACGGTCACCACTTCATATCTAATGCTTTAGGCAATTAACCAACTTAGCATACGTTAGCATCAAAAAGTATTAGTCATAAGTTCTGCAGGCTTTCTGAAGGTATGGCATTTTTTACCCATGAATCCAAGAATTTGACATGTAAATCATTATTAAATACTCAAAACATTATAATTTGGTACAAATCGTATGGAATTAATGACATATAAAAGGTCAATATAGCATAATGATGCTTGGAGTACTTAATAACAATTTACATGTCAATTACTTCGGTTCTCCTGGATGAGAGAAATGTTAAAACATAAACTGAGCTGACCGCTATAGTTCTTGATTTAGCTATTTGCTAAGCAAGATACTTGCATCAACCATTAGCTATCAACAAACATCATTAATGAAACAAGCATACATGAATACAACTGTGTGAAATTATTTATGAGCATTTATAAAACCACAAACAGCAAGGTCTGAGATAGAAACTCAAAGTAAGGGCTCCAAAAATTACGTGTCTTGGAAAAAAATTTTGATAGTAAAATGCTCCTTGGCACCAACTGTTATACTGTTTAATTTGGGCAAAATTCCTTATGATAGTTTTCTATGAGATGTAAATTTATGTAACATAAAGCATATATACTTTTGGTATTTTGTAGAGAACTTAGTAGTATTTTATAGTATTCTGTGGTCCTTCATAGATTTTTGTTGTATTTAACATACTTCTTGGTGAGTTCTTCAACATTACTTCCAGAAAATAAACAATATTAATCATAGCACTTAACAATCTGAATGAGCAACAAAGCAATATAATGTGACATTCCAAAAGTACGGACTCACAACAATGAACAGGTACATGTAAAATATAAACACATCCACTAATTCCAAACACTTATATCAATGAAACATATTCACATAATCATACATTATTCCATCAGTTCCAAAAACCTCAGGAACAAAACATAACTACCATTGACCATGATCAATCGAAATGATCCATCACTCCAGCTTCAAATTAAATAAATTCCTATCCGTTATTGTAACTATGTACAATAAATATGGAATAAAAAATGCAATAAATTTAAGAAGAATAAATATTACTATTTGGTTCAAACAAAGGTAGAACAAACTTGAACAAGTTTGGAATATTATCAAACAGGAGATAAGTTCAATATAAGATCAAAATAAGCTTGAACAATATTCAAATGGTGTTCCAACTAGTGAACAACCTTTGAACAAGATTTAAACTAGATTTGAACCAAAAAAAAAATAGGACCAAACAAAATGAATAGCAAGCCAAACCAAGTCAACAAAAAAAAGACTCGAACATGGTGCTCAAACAAAGTTCAAAAATTTGTTTGGCATTGATCAACCTTGTTTGAACCAGTTTCTTTGGTCCTTTATCTAGTTCTAATCAAATGACCTAAAATAACTCGCTCTAATTCAATATAAATCATATGAATTATCACATAGTCACTTGGGTCATGTGTCTATAATATTATTCAAAGAATAAAAAATTCAAACAAGGCTGTTGAAGTCAGATGAAACTACATCACATTCAAGTTGACCATCACAGTATACTTATCCAGATGCAAGAATAAATCTAAAATGAAAAAAACAACAATATTAACAAAATGTATTTCTTGAAATTCAGAATAATACGAAATAAAGCGAGATTTTCATTGATATGAAAGAGGTTATAAAAAAACCCTTAAGTGAATCTTAGAATACGAAAAATAATAAAAAGAAAATAATATGAAAGGAAAGATATAACTCCTATTATCTCTAATTAATCGATTCATATTAATTATTTAAGAGAAGAAGGAAACAATATAATATAGAAAAGCCTAAAATAGGAAATGAAATGAAATAAATTTAATCCAAGGAAAAAAAATATAAAATAGGAAACAAAATGACTCCTAATCTAAGAAAATAATTTATTTCTCATAACTTCTAATAGAATAAATTACTTCCTAATATAACTTCTAGCACTCCCCTCAAATTTAAACATGGTTGAAAACCATGTTCAACTTGGATTTAAAAACATTAATGGGCAAGAAAATCCTGAGAGATAGAACTTAAAGTCTTCGTCTCGTGTTGTGGTTGTCTTTGACTGCAGTTCCTGTAGTGTTTATAAGTAGGTGGAAGGCTCCAACAGGTAACGTTATAGGGGAATTTGCAGAAGAGTAGACAACAGTGGTTGCAGTTTCTGCTGTGTCTGTAGGAAACGGAACACTCCTACAAGTAATGTTGCAAGGGGGTTTGCAAGAAAGTAGACAACTGTGATTGTCTTTGACTGCAGTTCCTACAGTATCTGTGGATAAACGAAAGGCTCCTACAGGTAATGCTGCAAGGAAGTTTGAAGGGAAATAAACAACCAATAGGAAAAGGCTGCAGGATATGGCCTGCAAAAAAAAAAACTTAAGAGCTAGGCCTCGCTGCAAAAAAGGCTCTGAAGGAGGACAAGTTGCTGAAAGAATTCAAACGTAGGGTTTGTTGCAGTGAAAGCTCCGGATGAGGGCCTGATACAAGAAAAAGTTCCAAGTGAGAACCTAATACAGGAAAAAGTTCAGGATGAAGGCTTGATGCAGGAAAAAGCTCCATAAGAGGGCCTGTCATACGAAGAATTTCAGTGCAGGACCAGCTGCAAAAAAAGCTTTGAGAAGAGCCTTATACAGGAAAAAAGCTCTGGAGGACGGCCTGATGTACCAAAAAATGTTGGAGAGTCTGCTACAGAAAAAATTCTGGAGAAAGGCCTGTTGCAGAAAAGCTCCGAAGAAATTCATCTCCAAACAATAAGTTCTCCTCTTCACAAGCATCTTTGTTGCAATCCTGTATGCTTCCTCCAAGGCATTTGACAGCCAAGACAAATCTAATGGCTAGCCAATACTGCAACCTCCAAACAGTTCCTTCTGTGAATCTTCAATAGGCTCAATAGCAACCATTATTGTCCCCTAAAGGATCAATCCACCTGGCATATCAAGAAGCGGAGCATACCACAGCCTCATGTTGAGTGTTGGGATCAATATTTGTTATGAAGAACCTGAAGTTGATACAGGCCTCACACTAAGATCCTGTAATATCCATGGTCAACACACCTTTGCCATCTGCATTAGTGAGATCCTACAATTTCAATGTCATGTGATCGCTGATAATGGTATGGAGGAGGTAATGTCGTACAGTGGCAGCAATGAGGGGACTAATTGTCCATACAACCCTAAGCTTCAGCCTTGAAAGATTCAGGAATGTTTTTTGTTGCCTTCACTAGCACAGAAATAATGTGTGGGGTTAGCATTTACAGATTTGGAAGAAAGGATAGGCAGCTGTCAAGGGTGGAACCAATAGTAGCCTTCCATTTGAGAAGAACACCTTCATCAACCGCAAGTACATCGGCTGGAAGCTCAATCTGAAGCCGTCGGATCTCCTTGAACTTCTCCAGCACCTCAGAGGGGGAATGGTGTGATACTTCAGATGTGGAAGAGGTCGATGTTGAATTGGATGATAAAATGTGCTACGAGAGAACAGATAAAATCTGACCCAGTGCGTAAAAGGGTCGCACAATCCCGGCGAAAACGAAACTAGAAAGATTAGAAAAAACATCGCAGGATCTATCGCCAACAACAGCAGAAGAAACGAACGAGAGAGAATGATCGTCAGATATAATGTCGTCAATGTGGATGACAGCGTTGTTGATTAGGGGAACGAGAGCGTGGAAGCGGCAGGAGACGACGCAACACCATCCAAGTGCCTTCATGCCGCCTATCCGGCTGAAGATGACAATCAAGATCAAGTCTGACAGCCGATTAAAGTTGTGGATTCCATACTCTGACGACGACGATATCAAAGATAAGAGGTAGCACACCAACTGCGAAATTGTAGTAGATCTGCAGCCGCCGATGACATATTGTGGCTGAAATGAAAGAGAAAATAAGAAAGAAACCCTAGAAAGAAATGCTCTCGAAACCGGTTGGGATTCAGCGGGTAGATCAGCAACAGAGGGAACAAAATCTAGAGTTGAGCTGATTCAAGTTAAGAAACAAAAGATATTGGCTGAAAGATGAAATTGAGAGCCGCCGCAAATTTTCCTGGCGAGATGGTGAGGTCGAGAGCCGAGAGTGAGTGCGACCATACCGCAGGTAGAGAAAGTGTTTTTCCCTTCTTGCAGGGAGAATGGCACAAAGGAAGTCAAGCAGTTATAGAGAGACGACAAGCAACTAAGATAGGAAATTTGGCTCTAATATCATATTGAAATTCAGAATAATGCGGAACAAAGCGAGATTTTCATTGAAATGAAATGCATGAATCCTAGAATAAGAAAAGCAATAAAAAGGAAATAATATGAAAGAAAATATATAACTCCTAATATCTCCGATTAATCAATTCAATTTAATTATTTTAGAGAAAAAGAAAGCAACATAAAATAGAAAAGCCTAAAATAGGAAATGGAACAAATCAAACCAAGGAAATAAATATAAAATAGAAAAGGAAATAACTCTTAATCTAAGTAAATAATTTATTTCTCATAACTTCTCACAGGAATAAATTATTTCCTAATATAACTTATAACAGTCTTGACTGGTAGTGTATGAAGTTAGGAATAACGTTGCTTTAGCATTTTAAGTGGGTAAGTGGACAAAATAAAAATAGAAAATGCAAAGAGGGGAATTTTATCCAACCCATATTTCTCCAAATAAAAATTTAGCAAAGATTTATGGACATATTGCTTTACTATGAGACAAAATTCAAAATTACCAATTGAAATAAAACAAATAATTAATACAATCTTATACAAAAAAATTTTAAAGTACACTAAACTAATAGAAGCCACATTTAGATGCGTCAAGCATTTCACAATTTGATTACTCCAAAGTTAAAGCTCCCAAAAATTTCTTTAGTGGCATAAGAGCCAAACCTATTAATAGGGCTAAAGTTAATAATTCAATTCATGAAATGATACTGAAATATCTAAAATGGCTAAATGCTAAATCAAATACAAAATTGCATGCCAATTTGCACGCCTTCAAACAACATGATACAAAATGATAGATTAGTATTTTACTTAAAATGGCTCAAAGTCATATAAATATAGAAAAAGATTAGTTCCCCGCTATTTTCAAGTCCTTATAGGTAACATAATTGGCAATGAAGCAACTAACTTCAAGTTCACTAAAAAAAAGCATTGCAACATAGAAAATGAATAAACAGAAAAAAAAATCCCAAGTGTTTAATACAAACGACCAATACGAACCTGTGAATCTTCTCTTATTCTAAGGTTCTGTCCGACAGGATCAAGCAAGTCATTGATAACCTATAAAAAAAAGATAAGAACAATAAGTTACACAGGTTCCAAGGTACATGCTTGTTTAATTGAAAATCTAACCGTACAATCTAATCCTCAAAAAAGGAAGGACTCCTATGTTTTGATGACTTGCAACATTCCAGAAATCAACACTATGATGCAAGTTGCCAAAATATAATAAAACACACAAACAGGCTAGGTACAAAAAGCAAAAAAAAGGGCATGAAAAATAATTAAAAGATAAGATATTTAAATTCATTAGTTTAATTTAGATGTACGTAGCTATGAAAATTGAATCTTAGAATAAAATAAACATAACAACCAACGATAAAAATGATGGATTAAAAATTATTAAATTAAAATTTTAAGGAATAAATATTTCTAAAATAGCTAAATGAACATAATGGTAAATTATGTTCAGATTGATTCTAAGAGAAAAGTTAAGTTAGTTCTAAAAAAAGAAGCATTAAGAACCCGTATTAGATACACATTATAATTTTGAGAATTATGAGAGCTGTTAAAATGGAGGATCTAATAAACACTCAATAGAATAGTGATGACTAATAAGATGTCAAATCGATTGGAGAATAAAATGATTTAAAATAATATTTCTAAAAGATAATAAAAAATTGCAGTTACAAGGGTGTCATAGTTATAAGTCACAAAATAAAGTTCCTGGAGAGAAAATGAAACAAACTTAGAAAATCATTATTGATATCAAGGGCTAAATGTGGCTTTATGCATGAAAGATCCACAAACATACAGACTTTTGTGTCGGAAAATAAGAGAATAAACATTTTGGTAGTACTAATTAAGAACAATAGAGATGTTCAAAATTATAGTATCTAAAGTACAAATTTAAGAGTCATATAAAGACGACATGAGAGAAATAATATCAAAGAATTAGAAAATTTATATTCATATTATAGACTTACTATGGTTAAAGGAAGGGAAGATCCACAATCATGATAAGCATGCTGTTAAAGAATTTAATAAAAATTTAAGAAAAAGAAAAAGATTTCTTTTTTCTATTATTTTTATTGATCTTACTCATTGAGTACCACAAGAGACAATTTGGGGTCTATTAAAAAAATGTTGTCAAAGCTAAAGTGAAATTAAATACAATTAAGATAGAGCATTGACCAGCGTTAGAAATAGTTCTCAAGTGACAAAATGATAAAATTAGGAATTACATCAAAAAACAGTAAGTTAGCTCACTTTTCTATCTAATATAAAGATACTTACAATGAATAATCAAAAAGAGGTGCACTGGGGTACGGTATTTCTTCTTTGACATTGTCTTAATTTGAGGTACCTATTTGATAAGTTGAAAGATTGAACACTGGAGCAAATATTTCAAAGGTATGGGTATGTAATTTTAGTGGTTGTGAAATTAAAGATTAACAACCAACATAGATAGGAAATCAAATGATTCTAGTTCGATAAGTTTAAAAATGTTGGTTATATTAGGGTCTTGGGTTTAGTGGTTGTAAAATAATAAGGCTATAAAATGAGCGAATAAATTCTGTTCAGGCCAGTGGTCAAATTAAAAAAGGGCCACAAAAGTAACATACAATAAAAAATATATATATAACATGAGCACATAAAGGTTTTTTATATATAATTGAAGTTGAATAAACTATGTTGAAATTTACACAAGTGTTAGATGATTAGGAAATCAAACATAGTAAGTTGATTATTATAAATGAGGAAACATATATTGATATGTGGAATAACTAGCAAGGATGATTGAGATTTTGGTATATTAAAGGAATTCAGAATTATTATTTATTAAATAAAAGAATATGAAAGAAGAACTAAGAAAGTCAAGTCGTCCATAAAAAACAATCAAAGGCGCCCAAATAAAATAAGTACATAGGGTTTCAAATAAGACAATGAACATAAAGATAGCATGTATATAAATTGTGCAAAAAAATTGCACATAATAGATTTAAAATTTATGCACTGCTTAATATGAATAAACAAAAAAATTAAAAAAATTAGCCACAAAATGTTTAGAAAAAAGCCTATTAGTTTCAAGCACAGGCATGCCTTTAACATGTCCTTACATGTGTCCGATAAATTTCTTCTGTCTAAAATGTTTTCTCTAAAATTATACTCAAAACACGTTAAAGATACACAAGACACACAAGCACAACTAGGAAACACATTTACATGAAAGGGAGACGAAGAAGCTACTACTTATTCATTAAATTTCTAGCTCAAGTTGGCTGGTTGGCAATTGTCTTGGTATGAGAATGTTAGGTCAATTTAGCGATACCTCAATGAGCTAATATTCTATGTGGTTATGTCAAAAATTCTACTTTTTTTTGGATTTTTAGTTGGAGGTTAAAATGCTAATATTGAAAAAAAACTAAGAATAAAGATTAATCCTAATATTGGTGTGTCATTGGCGATAAGGAGCATTAATTCAATAAAAAAATTTCATCAAATGCAACAGTAGCAGGTCCAACTACATCTGATATTGCTCGTAGATAAAATTTTGAATCAATTTTAGATCAACATTAATGTTTTTCCAGAAATTAAGCACAACAATTGAGATTGATTTTGCAACTATTCACTAGATTAATGAAATAAATCCTATTAAGGTTTTTGCTCCTTATCATCCTCTTGTTCGGTATATCGATTCTCTATCCATGAGCTTTGATGTTAGCATTTCTCACATAGAAAAGCAAGTGGAGAAAAAATTTATTTTGCTTTAAAAAATGAAATTATCCCTCAAACTCTGGGGTTTTTGCTAAAAAATTTAGACATTTTGTGCTAATTTTACACAAGTAATAATAAAATTCATTCAAAAATTTGTACCAATAGTGTGTCATGCCCAATTTATTTGGTTATGTCATGACCCCATGTAAGTGTTGTATCTCCACGTCTAGCTCGTGTCTTGCTCGTGGGTTGAGTTTATTTCATGCTCAACAAACTAAGGCAAATGATGCAGTTTGAAGAACAATACAAAAGGAAAAGGTTAACTTTGTTGGAATTTGATAACCATTGAGCATAAAATCATTGAAATTCAATAAATAATATGCAAACAATACTATTGTAGCTTCTATCAACTCATATTTAGGAGATTCAAGCATTCCTCTATATTTTCGTAGATTTTATCACCAAGTCACAATCAATTTTATAAGAAGCTTATTTTGACACTATTTAAACTCCACAAAGCAAAAAAAAAGCATACAACATTAAATTAAAAGAAATGTGTTGCACCGGTGCCAAAGGAGAAATTTTAGGCTCTGTTTGGGGCAGCTGCAGCTTATCCAGCTTCTGCTGATAAGCAACTTATCCTAATAATCTGCTAATGAGCAGCTGATCTGGATAAGCTGTCTGGCTATTTGGTTTGTGCGTTTGAAAAACAGCTAATTCTGGGAAAATGATCATTCTACCCCTGTTCTGAATAAGTTGTTTAGCTGTTTGGTTTGTGTGTTTGGAAAACAGCTTATCTGTAACTTTTTGCAGATAACTTTTTTAAATAAATTTTAAATTATCTGTTACGTAAATTGTAATCAATAATTTACAATATACTCTAATTTTAAAATAAAAGAATATATCAGTAAAAAATTTGAGTAAATAATTAAAATGTACTTACCAAAGTGTGAGGAAGCGGTTGCCGACAACATAGGTGCTTAATGCAGTGTTTTTTCGAGTAAACAAACAATAGTCCAATTTTCAGCTAATTTATATGCACTTACATACATACCACTCAATTCCTATGTATTTACATATCCAACACCTAAATTGTGTGAAAAAGGTGCACTTCCTTCTTTAAAAGTTAAAATGTTGGCATCAATGTAAAAAGTAAAGTTTAGGTCTTGGATATGTAAATACATGAGAATTGAGTGGTATGTATTAAAAAAAAAACATGAAAAAGCAATTACCATAACAAATTAATACATGAGAATAGAGTAGATAGACAGAGAGATTCATGGAATTCAAATAGAAAAATCCAAGTAAATCATTACTGCTCTTGAAGAAAACTGCTCTTGAAGAAAATAGACATAAAATAGACATTTTTTTTTAAACTCAGAGTATCTTCAGCTTGCATAAGAAATTATAAAAGAGTTTCTTAGCTGGAATTTCAGTAGGTGTAAAATTAACTGTTTAGAATTGCAGGATAGAAATTGAACCATCTTCAAATTCAAATCAGTTCTAATCATATTTTGTAAAAACAAATCAGTTCTAACTTAAGGGTAATGTGTTACTCTAAACTAACACACACTAGTTAGTTTTCTTTTGAAGATGAACCCCGTAACTTGTGTATTTAAGCAGAGCAAGAATTTCAAGTTTAAATCCTCCTCTAGCATCAATATACAGAACATTCAACAACTGTACAAAAAAAGGAAACAAAAACTGACTTTGAACTTCGCCAAAATCCACATACACACCCACACAAAGATAAATTGTGTTTGGAGAAATGAACATTAATAGTTCATATCTCAATTCAACACTCATATCAGCTGAACTCCAAATCCAAAGAAGGCAACATAATCAAACGGCTTACGAATACAATGGCTTCTCAACCCACGCACCCGAAAAATGACCATTCTCACACATAAAAGCTCGGACAACCAGCTCCCCCTCATGAAGATCCAAGCCTCTCCTCAAGCAAAATGCAGAATGTAAATCCCAAGTCTATTTTCCATCACAAAAGGCGCATTTCACCTCAATCCTGCTCTTCTTAGCATCCCTCACCGTCCTCCAGATTGAAGTCTCCTTATAATTTCTGAACACACCTCTAAATAGCAAGTACTTCGGCCTATTCTCCCATGGACGCACGCCGGCCACTGACTAATGACAATCACCACGAAATCGGCTTGCAAGCAGCTTGCTACCTTCTTCCCTACTGAATCCCCTTTGTGTCAAGGTGTAATGAGGTTCCCAAATGGGACGACGCCTACACATGTGATTAGGGTATTCATAGAGGACGTCGGCGTGGTGGAGGCGAGGACAGCAGATACAGAGCTTGCGGAGGGCAGGAGAAGAGATCC